CTCTGGTGCAAATTACTGACCCCTGTCATCATTTTAGGTGGGGGAACTTGCACAATCGGTGGCTGACTAAATACTTTTTTGCCCCACTGTAGTAGTTTACATTGGCTGATTTACAAGGTGTGTACAAACCCAAAGAATAATTACTAAAACTAAATCTAAAACACAGAAAAACAAGAGAAATTATTTCATTTTATGCTGATTTAATGTTGAGCTCAAGTTCAGGCTTTTATATTTTTAGTTTTGGTGGCTACAAATATTTGTTAAAGTGACAAATCATTTACTCACCTCCTTCTCGTGTGGCACCCCACCCAGTGATCCACACATCCTGGCCAGGTGGAAACTCATGTTGCGCAGCTGGCAAGCAGATGGGTTTTATGTAGTCACTGTAGGTGACAGGACTGTCCAGCTCCATCAGGGCGATGTCACTGTCAAAGGTGTGGTGGTTGTAGTTAGGGTGAGGTATGACCTGCTTCAGATTCCTCTTTTGAACTGGACTTTCTAACATTTTCTGTGTATGAACGCCGAGGTAAATTTCCCAAGAGCCAGGCTGGGAGAGTCTGAGGAAGTAAGCAACAAAACAGATGAAGGATTTTATTCACGGTCTCAATTATTAATGAACTTATAATAATTAGCATATTATGTGGCACTATATACAATTCCCATTATATGGCATTTTTAAAATATACTTTAAGTCTGATTTCTCAGTGCTTGTTGAATATAATAAGATGTGAGTCTGGCTGTGATAACTGCTTGCAAAATGGCAAGGGCCGAATTATTTTTCACCACATTCAAGGATTTTGTTGCAATTTAAAAAAACGTTCAATTTACATCTTTCAAGTGAAACTATTAAATTCATGATTTGCTTATTTTAGCTTTATTATTTAAATAATTTAAGCAGTACCTGAGGCTTTTCTTAGTTTTATTAAAGTGTATAACAGAGTTGTTGTTATACTGACTGCGTACCATACTCTACTCTATGTAAAGATATTTAAAGTCCTGAAAAAAGGATAAATTAACTGAAGTCACACAGAATTTGTAAACAACTTTGATTTTTCTAAAGTAGACTTAAAAATAATGTACTGAGGACAAATATTAACTCTGTTATACGCCAATGGTACTCATTTTCATTCATCTGGATTATAAGATCTTCTAAATATGTAAAATAGGAACAACAAGCAGAGACAAATAGCTCTCATTTTACACAGAGAGAATATAAGATCGTATTTTTCACAAAAATCAATGTACTGTGTCAAAGAGAGACAAAGAATAGGATAAGAAGTTACTTTAAAGAGTTTTCATCTTGCACACAATGGGCAGCAGTGACCAGCCATTTCGGACTGATGAGGGATGCGCCACAGACGTGACCGTATTTTTTGGCATGGAGGCTGACCTGCCAAGGAAACTCCCCTTGTTCTGCATTCTGACCACCTACAATACGTTGGGCCCTCCCACGTGTCCCACAGTCTGCAAAGTAAACAACAAATCAGTCAAAGGGCTGGTGCGCTGCAGCTTATTGTGAACTGGGTGGAGCTCCACACCTGTTTGGATAAGACAACCTAAACTGCACAGGTGAAGGATGAATGATTAATTTAAATGTGATTTTTTTGTGACATACTGCAGTTCTCCTCATCAGATCCATCACCACAGTCCGGCGTCCCGTCGCATTCTGGATTCACTTTACTGATGCATTTATTGTCTTTACATTTGTATGTAAAATCTGTGCAGCCTACAGTTAAACCTAAGGAGAGAAGAAAAGGAGAAAAATCAATCCAAAGCTAATTCAATCCATCTCTAGCCATTTCTCTCTCGCTCTCTCCCACCATCTATCTATATGTATAGCAAAGTTGGGCTTATCTGTTGTACCTCCTGTGGATTTTGTACAGTCTTGTTCATCTGTTCCATCCCCACAGTCGTCCGTTCCATCACATTTCAGCTTCTCAGAAACACATTTGCCATTCTTACACGTTATTTGCCCAGATTTACACCCACCTAATACAAAAAGTAACAGGCATGTTTAAGCATTTCCAGTGCTGATATGAAACATACTCCATCAATGTTACAAGGCCTTACAATCCAGCTCATCTGTGTTGTCTCCACAGTCATTCACGCCATCACATTTCCAGAACATGGGCTTACAGAATCCATTTCTACAACTAATATCAGTGGGACTGCAGCCTGGGAAGGGGGGATAATGAACATTAAACATTAAAATGATTCTCAGGATGTGACAAATCCTCTCATAAGAATAAAGAGAGCAATTAAAAAAAAATGTGTAGTCTTAGCATCACGACTAAATGGTACTTACTGCATTCCGCCTCATCACTCATGTCTCCACAATCATTCCAACCATCACATCTTAGTGCCGGCTTAATGCAGTTGTTATTTCTGCACTGGAACTTGTCTGGACAAGCTGTGAATGGCATGGTTAACATGAGAAACACTGTCCTAATGTCAAGGAATACTCATTATTTGAAAAACTAAATTGCTTACGATTTTGGATGTCAATGGCCTCATATTGTGCCAAAAAGCCCTGGTCCACACGAGACTCATCAGAATAAAACACCACAGTCATGTTGTTGGTGCTGCTGGTTTCTGTCACTGACCCATCAGGTTTTTCTCCACACCATCTGAAAAAATGAAATGTACTAGCAATGACACACCTGCTTTGTTCTGGCATTCCCGTTTTTTTAAAGCACAACAAGGACTCACTTCTTTCCGTTGACCTCCACATAGTCTTTGTCACAGTTTGGGTTTTTCTTTCCCAGCTGGGACAAGAGTAACCTTTTGAATACGAGCTTCACTACCTTCCCAGTAGGGACCTTAATGACAATAAAAAAAAGATTAAAACTACATCCCACAATGGGATGTGATCGTCAGGGGTGGTACAGAGCAGAAATATGCATGAAACAGTTGAGTAGTACACCATTTAAGGGACTGACCACTCACCTCAATTAACCACTCGCATGTAGTTTTAGGAGGGTAGTAATTTGGGTAGTTGGGAGAAGAAAAGTTGCCTTTTGAGCCTATCAGCTTCTCACCACATGCTATAGCTGTTCAAAAAAAAAAAAAAAAAAAAAAGGATGCATCAGCACAAATGTCAAACACTTAAGTTGTTCCTTAAAAAACTGCAGGTAAACTTTAATTCCTACCTCTATTTCCTGTTTGAACTTGTGAGACTTGTGCTCTAAAACCTGGGAAGGACTGGTCATGAGTGGCCATTGTCACCAACATTACATTGCCAGAGGACAGAAAGCTCAAACGTTTACTAGGTAAATATTTGCCACACAACCTGTAGAAAGCAAAGAGAAAACAATAACGCTCTGAACACACTGCTAACAGACTGATACACAAGGAAGATTTGGTCCTTTAAAAAGCGCATATTTCACTCTTTCGTGACATGGATTCATCCCCTGCCTTCCTTCACGTGTGGTTAAATTACTTTTCACTATCGTTCAAAGTTATGTATAAAACGCTTAAAAATCAGCTTCTTGGCAGAATTTCTTTTCACATAATAAGAAAATGTAACAGTGCATTACCTCTGAAAGTGACTCATTTTTCAGCAGAGGTTATATTTAGCTTCTCTACAGAAAAATGTTTACAGAAAAGTGTTTTGCTATTGCACTTATCTCATCAGGGCAGAAAAACCACTACCCACACACTCGTAAGTCCTTCCTGCGGAAAGCTTTCCGTTTTCTGATTACATGTAGTCTTGGTTATAACTAACAGTTACATTTACAGCTTCAGTCAAAGTGCTCAACAAATTCTGAACAAATTATTTGCAAGTGCTATTAATCTAAAATGAGGTTTAACCAACATAACCGCACCATTATGTACAGTTCGACGAGAGTTTCTTAATAAGTAACTCCTCCAAACTTAAAAGCAAAATATGCACCACTTAATATTGTACCATAAAAACTAAACATGTTTTCAGTAAACAGGGAACTGAGTGAAAAGTGTCTGCAGCTACAGATTGTGATAAAGGGGTTGCTTGATCTCACAACAGTGAACAGTAACCATATACTGTGTTCACTGCACATATGGAGAACAGGAAGGGCAGTTAGGAGATTTAATACCTAAGAAAAACAGCACATCAGTAATTTGTGAGTATTTTGTGTTTGAGACTGGAGACGTGCACCAGAAACAGGTACTGCAAAACCTGTTGCACTAAAGTTGTAACATCTAGCAGAAACGCAACCAACTTATACCGGCACTTGAAAAATCACCACAGGCTTTTGCATGAAGAGTGCATGACAAAAAAAGTCTGGCGAAGAGTCAAGTGAAAGTGGTGCTCAGGCTCATTGTCGCAAACAGCCTGCAATTACTGCATCTTTTGCCAGTTTAACTCCGTTAGACAAGAGCAGCAAAAGACATTGGGAGATGACTAATGCCATAAAACACTACTTTCGAACTGGTTTCTGATGAGTGATGGACTCCGCCAGAGCCAACTTTTGTCACCGATTCTGTTCAGAATTTTATGGACAGAATTTCTAGGTGTAGCCAAGTGGCTTTCACTCGGGTGGTCTCAGAATCTCTGCTTTTCGCAGATGAGAGGTTTCTGTTGGCTTCATCTTTATTTCATTAAGTTTAATTTTGTTACCGTTACTTTTCAATTTTACTTAAAAAGATGATTATGTCATTTTCTATCATCTTTATAAATATTACTGTACATTTTGAATTTTGTCCTGAAGCTTAATTTGAAGAAACTCATGAATCGAATTGGAAACGAAATATCGGCCAGAAAAATAACAATTAGATAATTTCCTAAAATCTTTAAGCTGCACTCCAGAGTTTACTAGCAGATTGTTAGCAGTCAAAAAGTACCAAATTTACACTTTAGTAAAAGAAATGTCAATGCAAAAGCATCAGCAGGTACATGCTTTCATATTTTACTGTAATCCTTCAGTGAGATCAGTAGTATTTCATTGTTTTACAGAAAAAAAAATGAGCTCAATGAAGCGCAATAAAAATAAAAACATGTAAAAAATTGGTGTGATGATCACGATGATAAATATTAACATAATAATAATAATAAAAATTATAATAATAATACCAGATGTAGCAATGTTTTTTTTATCTGAAGGAATCTTGAAACTGATGTTTTAAAGGGCTAACTCACTCTTGCATAACCAGACTCTCGATGGGAACCAGGGAATCGTAGATTTTGATAAAATCATTCTCGCAGCTCTCTTCCAGTTCAAATGTTTCAAATACCAGCTTGACTACATAGCCGTGGTCAGCTCTCAGCTGCCACTGGATGAAGGTGTTAGGAGGATACGGACTGTTGGGAAAACCCGGTGACTCGATCTGTCCTACATAATCAACCTTGGTATGCTCTGCAAACTGCAGATTATCTGAAAGAGAAACATTAAGATTTAGAATTTAAGCTTGTGAATCACTGTCACACATTTTAAGACAGATATATTAATATTAATATTACTAAAAGTATGCAAATGAAATGTAGTTTCGTTAGTGGTCATGACCATTCTGCAGTAAGCTTTTTCCATTTTTTGATGTAAGTGAAACTGAATTAAAAAAATGGTTATTAAAAAAAAATAAAAAATTTGGTATGGAAAAAAGAAGTAAACAAGCGCCCTTTTGGTTTCTACTCAACTCCATGGCAGAAAAATGTTCTACTCTAAAAAGAGACTAACAATAGTGAAAGGTGTCGTCCATGGTAACATGTTCTATAGTGTAAGGTATATGTGGTTTACTATTTTCGGTCTATGTAGAGGATTTGTTAGTAGCACTTCTACTGAAATGTTAAAAACAAATAAACAAAACTTGAACACTTACCCTTAAAGGATCTTAAAAACATGCGATCATCCAGAGCTGTAAAGTTGAAAAAAAAGAAAAAGAGAAGTAAAAAGACACAAGGTTAGGACTGACCGAAAAACAATCACAACCAGATAGAACGTGACAACTGACAATATAACAAACAAAAGTGTATGTTTGATATAGAATGACAAGCAGTTGCTTTCACTGTACCTGAAGTGACCACATTTTCAAAAGTCAATTCACTGATAGACATGCGCATTTTATTCACTAGCTTATCTACTGAAGTCATTTCGTTGTCGACTGCTCTTTCTTGCCCCACGGGGATGTTGAACTCAGACAGGTAGTAGGCAATGACGCTGCCCTCACTAAGAGCAATGACAGCAGGGTTAGAAACAACAAACACATGACCATTACACACACATATACATACATACATACATGGCAAGTGTGAAGGATTTATTCCTTCACACTTCATGAGCTTACCTGAAGGCCTGAACTGTAGACTCGCGGTAGTATTTTGACAATAGAGGACTTTTGGAATAGACGACTTTAAGCTGAAAAGAGATTGAAGCAAAATCATAAAAAATGAAATGAAATGAAAAATGAAAATAGTGTTGACACACAGAAGTTGGTGGCATTCTTACCTGTGAAATCACCTGCTTTGCTAAAGCCTTAAACTCTGGAGTGTTGGAGTTCTCATAGTCGTTGATAAATGCCTGGTTGGTGATCCGCATGGACCCGCTGTACATCCTGTTGACCCGCTGGTGTTTACGGACTATAGGATAACAAAAGACTCAATGTGAACCACGGCACAAGAAACATGCTTAGTATTCACTACTGCTTCTTCTCCTATGCCAAGTGTTACTGCTGTTACTTCTTGTGCAACAGATTGAAACTGTTAGAGAATTACAGATGGGTAGAGATGACTCATGCATGCCACAAATATAGGAATGATTTAGTTACTTAATCTTTAGCAATAAGCTTTCAACCTTGTGTTTTTTACTGTAAATTTAATTTTGTTTTTATGACATTTTTTCATTGTTTATCTGTAGCAGAGTGTGTACCATTTCAACGCAGCAGGTTTTGAACAAAATGTACGTGCAGTACATTTGCCTATTAAACAGAGATGTACTTACAGTGGAAATGCCAGACTAGTATTCCAGCCATAAGAGCTACAAGAGCGGCCAAGATCACCACGCCAATCACAACTCCAATTTTCCCTGGGTGCTTTTTCTTCTCAAGCCTTTTGGTGTCCGATGCTTGTAACTGGAAATCATTATCACCCCAGTCTTTGTCCTTGATGAAAGACAGACAGTTAAACAGATGAGAGAAAGATCAACATGTAAAACTCAGGTGCATTAATATCAGCCAGCTCTAAATATTAATCAAAATTACAAAGGTTTAGACTTGTGTAGATAAAGGTGCAAAGGAGAGCAAAGCAAAGCATCTCACGCCCTCATGAAAAGATGATCATAAAGATAAGCAACAGCAGCAGACAGCAAGCCAACACTTGCGTATTTAAGGAATGTCCCTGCTATTGGTGACCTACATAACTGTTCTCAGATACAAGAAGTGTGACACATTGAAACTTGAAATGTTATAATAGTTTTCTTTTGAAATAATTTTCCAACTGAAAGAGACATATTAAAAAAATCTGTGAGCAAAAAATTTGCAACAGAAAAGAGAGATTCACTGTCTTGTGCTGTTAATGAATGAAACGAGAACTTCATGCCATGACTCATGCTCTGCTGTTACCTTTCAGAGGTGAGACTGGGGGGGGAGGGAGTACAAAGGTTTCAGCATGTAAAATCCTGTCAAACCTGCTTGGCGGCAACTACTCACAAACAACATGTTTCTGTAAGTGCTTTGTGTAGCGTAACATTAATAAAAGAAATAAAAGACCACGACATGCTTTTGCCTTTTGTTTGCTTTATAAACCACTGGAAAGGCTTTCTTTCTGCCTGTTTAAACTTGAAGCTCATTATATAATTAAATAATATATTATTTTCCACTGATGAGGTCATGACTCAAACATATAAATGTGCTGCTTTGGCAGAATAGTTATTTGTAAAGAGCAAGCTTTATATTTGTCACAATTAATCATAATGTTAAATGCTAACTGAAGAGTTTATGCAATCTATATCCACTTCATTGTTCTCATGTGTGGATTCACTGATCAAGTTGCAACGTAAAGGGTCTAGGTTAATAAAAGGAAGAATATATCTCATAGAGCCCCATCTCCCTACTACTACTGTGGTTGCCTTTGCAACAAAGATATAGTACTAAGATCCATTCATATATGTAAAAACAGTGTATTTAAACTCTTCGTGAAGCTCAAAATGTAAGTCTTAGTGTTAGGTTAAACTGTTAGAGAAAATTTCTTTAAATGACCCAACATCTAAAATGTCAGGTTTTAACAGAAAATTGCTAATTATACTTGAAGAACACATACAATCAGAACAGTCCCAGCCCCTCTATCAACAACCACGACATGCACGGTACAGCAGAGCAACGTAGAAGTCAAATACCATTCACACCTGCTCCACTGTGCAAAATCTTGACACTATAAGGGACTAGAGCTGGGCGATATAAGATTTTTTCATATCACGATATGTTTTTTTCATTTCAGGCGATAACGATATCTATCACGATATAAGCCAAATAACTATATTTGTAAGATTTAAATGTGCCGTTGCTCACAAGTAAAATGTGAAATAATCAGCAGCTTGTTTTTATTTAAATATTTATTTCCCATAATAAGTTCAACAGGGTAGATGTACTTAAGGAACATGAGACTTTTTCAGATAAATAAAGGCAAATATTGCAAAATACACAAAAGGCAGCCGCTAAAGCGTTTAAGTTTCAAAATAGAACAAACGAAACAGACGACTAAATTGTCAATTCCACTTAGAAACAAAATATTAATTCTAAAAATAAATCTTAGTTTGTTTTACAGAAGAACAGACAAAACTGACTAACTTTTGTCAATATCAAATAAACTGAGAACTAAAAGGAAATTCTCAATCTCTCCTTGTTGTATAGCTTAGCTTTTCAAACAGTTTTAACAGTTACTTTAGTCTGACAAAAGCCGAATGACGAATTAGCGCTTCCAGTCAGAGACTGAGGCTACGTCCACACGTACACGGGCATTTTTGAAAACGGAGGTTTTCCGTTTTAAAAAATAATCCTGTCCACACATAAAGGGAGAAATGAAGGAAAACGCTGCTATGAACAAGCCAAAGCAGCAGGTGGCGCTAGATTCCTAACCGTGCAGAAATGTTGGCCAATCAGAAGTCTAGAAGCCTCGGTGGGAAAAAGTAAACAAAGCTGGGGCATAGAAGCAGAACAGAGTCGTATGTGTGGAGGGACAGTAACTGTGTGTATATGTAAGCATTTAAACACTGCAGAGAGTAGAATTAACAGTAACAGTATTGTAGAAATTCATTTCACCGAAACAGTAACGTGGCGCACAGTGTGACGTCAAAAAATGCGCACACCTTTGACGCTGCGTTTTCTCCGTTTTTCTAGTCCACACGTAAATGCAAAAACGGAGTTTTCAAAAATCTTCGTTTTCAAGTGACCAAAAACGCCGTTTACGTGTGGACGAAAGGTGCAAACGCATAGAAAAATCTGCGTTTTCAAAAACACCCGGGTACGTGTGGACATAGCGCATGCACCAGTTTATTGTATTTCCAGACTTGCTTTCGGCACAATTTACAGTGCACGCTACTCTGTTTTTTGTCAGACTTGAAATAGCCGAAATACCTTCACACCACGGAACTTCTGTGGCTCTTCCGTTTGACAATCTCTCCGGCATTGGAACCATCATCTGTTTTCTCTTCGGTAACCTTCGGTCACGCTCGGTTGATTTTTCTAGTCACTCATTTCCTCCATTACCCGGGTGGTAAGGTGGCTGGCTGCTTCCCAAACAAATACACATGTGCGGCTTGGCACTTGTGCTGTACGTAACAAGTCACGTGACGTGACGCTGCGGCTGTGATTGGTTCGGCTCTGCGCTACTTAATTTGGATTGGCTGTTTTTTTTTTTGTTTTTTTAAGAGGACAAGAGCGGCGAGGTCTATCGCGATAGTTTAATTTTTCTATCGAGAAAAAGTTATATCGCGATACATATCGTTATCGTTCTATCGCCCAGCTCTATAAGGGACTAATCACACAATAACACGTTTTATTTATCGACACAATGTTACGACGTAGAGTATTCTTGGATAGATAATAATCTACAAAGGAGAATGACTAGAGTGAACAAGTTGAAACAAGGTGGAGGAATTCAGACAGCAACCTTGGGAGGGCCAGCTGCTCTGGGAACTGTGAAGGTTCCTGGATGTTTTTATGTCCAAACCCCTCAAAAATATATGCCGAAGTTACTTGATGAAAAGAAGGTTATCTAGAGTTTTGAGTACTTTTTGTCGACAGGTTCTGAAACAATCATTTCTGGCATTTTGCAGATTGGAAGATTCCATAGCTCATTTTGTTGAGTGTAATTAATGAGCTTTGGGAATGCAGCCACATAAGCAGAATTATTAGAGTTTTCCATACATCCACCCATCCGCTGCCACTTATTTAATTCCTGGGTTGCAGGGGGGCTGGACCCTATCCCAGCAGCTGCCATAAGACGAGAGGTGGGGTACGCCCTGAGAGACAGACACTGTCACATTCACCCCTACGGGCTATTTAGAATCACTAATTAACCTAAGCCCGCAAAGTGCCATTCTTTGGATCACGGGAAGAAGCCGGAGTACCTGGAACAAACCCACACAGACCCAGTGAGAACATGCAAACTTCACACAGAAAGTCCCTGACCAGACGAACTCAGGATCTTCTTGCTGTTAGGGAGCAGTGCAAACCACCACCAGCTTTTATTAATTTCCTTGTAAAGGTTTGTTTTTGGCCATTATGATACGATATTATGATATACTGATTACATTTGTAAGATTTTAGAAGTATAGCACATGCATGTTACTATATTAGAATACAATTTACACAAACACTGAGTAACTTGTTATTGAGTCTCAATAAACAGATGCACAAATAACTGTGTGGCTATGTGGCACTGATTGTCTCAGTGTGTGCATTAATCGATGTCTAGATGCTCATTAAATACTCTATTTATTAATTACTAATTTTGGTGATTTAAAAAGGTGAAAAGCTGAATAGGGAGTGTGGGTTGCTCAATCAACTGCTCTCGTCTGTACATGAAACTGAAAACTGTTTCTGAGTATTGAAGTTCTTTTCCACTCACTAACTTGTTTGTCTGTAGGCAAACCAGTTTTTGCTGAGTGAGTCAGTCAAGATAGCACAGTTTAATACAATGACATCAAGTAAGTGTGTGTGTGTGTGTGTGTGTGTGTGTGTGTGTGTGTGTGTGTAACACAAACACAAGTAGCCTTATACTTTAAGTCCGAAAAATTTGCTGAGTGGAGATGTTTCTACCCACACGTCTTTCACTGTATTTCTACGGCAATTTGGTTGACTTCGTCTATGCATGAGTATCAGGTAATAAGTAAAAACAATGTGAAGCCCCATCACTGAACAAAAAGAAGCAAGTGACTTACCGACGCTGGGGTGTATCGCGGCCCACTGCTTAAGTGATCCATCTTGGGATCACTAATCAAATGGAAAACGACTTCAAACGTCTGAATTTCTCCTCCTCCTCCTCTTCGCCCTACCACTCCTTCTAAAAGCCAATTTCCGAGGTGAACCTGCAGGCCTTGTTTTTTTTTCTTTTTCTTTGTTTTTAAATGTGTTAATTCGACAAATAAAAACAAAAAACAAAAGAAAAATGTGTTTTTGTCCTTAAAAAAAGGCTCCTCTCAGTCGAGGGGTTCGCAAATGTCTCCCTGACGAGAACGCGTCCCCTACCTTCGTGACAACAGGTGACTACCAGACCAAACAACCTAGGGAAAAAAAACTTTTTCCGGCAGCTTCAGGTTTCTGTCTCCACCCCACACACCTGTAACGACTTCCTGTTTACTTGACACGGGCGAAACACATGAAATAAAATAATGGGAAATCTATTAGATTAGATATAGATAGCGCGAGAACTGTCTTTTCTTTAATGGTGGCTGTTTTAGGTTTCACTGTAAAGGAGAGGATACACCTGTTTAGGAGGTGGGGCTAGAGTTTAGGTATTCATTCAGGTGAACTGCGCTTCCAGTTCTTGGAAAAACGCTTTATTGTGATCTTATATTTGGGATTTCTACAAATATCAGCATAATTAAAGTAGGACAATGATTTAATTGTGTGATTTTTATAATTATGTTAAAGCTTCACTTATAGTTAGTATCAGTCATGTGATTGCGTGGGCTTATTCGTGAAACAGTGATGAATCACTTCTGAATCACCTGCGTGTTTTTTTTTCTTATAGTGAAACGGTTTTGTTATGCCGCCAAACAGAAACAAGTCCGCGAGACGTATTTCATTCAACCAGAGTATCAAACCGCAGAACATGGCGGATTGATATAAGCTGATGAATCCGTCTGATACAGAAAATGAATGAGAACTCTTTGAACTAGTTGAAGTACGGAAGAGGATTAGGGCCACTGGGGGGGAGTGGACACGTCTTTTTTTTCTTCTTTTCTTGAATTCTGAAGATTTTTTTTCCAGTGGCCCTAACGCTCTTCCGTATTGAAGTGATTATTTTAGTGCAATGAAAAATAAATAGGCTGTTCCGTTTTCTTAAATTTATATTTTCTGGTTTTCATTAAACTAAACATGATTACATTTTGGACAGCCGATCAAACAGAAATTAGTGTTATTATTATTTCTACCTTGAGTTTTTATGTGTAGATTACTTTGAAAGTCCAATTAAAGCACTTCTTAAGTATTAACTTTTGCTCCCACTACAAAAAAAAAGCTATTTATGAAAAAACAACAACACACCCATATGTAAGTTGTGAGTTTATTGATGTGTATCCCCCTTGTAACCATAAATCTGTTTCCACTGGTGTCAATCAAAATGTTTTAAATCACTAATATGCATAATATATTAGTTCCCAGTCCCCTCCACAATCAAGCAGGCTATTACAAGATTGAAGCCGTTTGGGTGCATAGTGAGACAGTCACATACAGAGATACTGTCACAGGAAGAGAAAGAAAAATAGAAAACAAGAAAAAAACTCAAATATATATATATATTTTTTTCATATAAGAACAATGCACACCACATGGAATCCTCTGGAAAAAAAGCCATGATTGCAACATCAACTATACAGGCATACAAAGACAATACTAAGATAAAGAGAGAGAAAAGAGGATCCTAGGATTCAGTTTACTTGTTTGTGTCGATCTCTAAGCTGTAAAATTACACAAGTTTGCTTTTTTAAAATCTTTCTTCCAGAAACCAGTTCTCCAAGCTTCAACTTTCTGTGTGTCTCTGTCTGCCTGCACAGCCCTCCAGCTCCAAACTGTTTTCAGGTGGCTTTGATGTATGGCCGGCCCAAGCATGTCCCAGTGCCAAAATCCTAAAATCAACACTGCAAAATTTGTTACACATCCCAATAAAAAAAGCAAAAATTTTATTACCAGCCAAAATTCATACTTTTTTTTTTCCACAAAAAGGTAGACTGAGTCATTTCCTAGATTTCTTGTTCCATACTACGCATATTGTTTTATTTGTGCCTCTGGACTAGCACTGCTATAAGTTTCCATACTATTCTTTACTTTATGACCAGCAAAGCTAGCTAGAATATGAATGCACATCATTCCTAAATTTGTATTCAGAGTAGCCTCACTTATACTGTGTTTTTACTTCAACACTTAAGAACCCCCTTTAAAAATAAAGCATTGTCTGTTTGTGGTATGTCTTTGCACACCTCAGTCTATGTGACACTACACTGAAATTAAAACCTAAAGGGCGTCTGTGAAATACATAGCATGGAAATGGCTTCCATAATACATTCAACTATGTAACACATATCAGTAAGTCTTTTTATTTACTGAACTTCCCTAATGATAAAATATTTGTGTGGGCAGAAGGGAATACATCATCACATTCACTTAGTAAGGGGTTTGGAGCAGGGTTTGTGGGATGTATTTGAGCTGGGGGCCTGTGCACACCTTCCCCGAAGCTTTCTTATTGTGTGCCTGCAAACATTCACGACGACAAAGCTAAGAACCCTAAACCAACTCATAACGTCTCCCCTGGGGGAAAAAAGGTGGAATAAAAACATCTATTCTTATATATATTTCAGTTGTATATGTATACAGCATTTTGTTATCATAACAAAGAACAGAAAGTAAATAATTCATGATTTCACTTTTTTCTCAGTTGTTGTTTCACTAAACGTTTTAATTGGTACAAAGAACCTTCATATACAAGCAATCTATCGAGAGGAAAAAGAACAAAACGTCAATTAGTTTTGAGAATACCATCAGAAACTGCATGAATGACACTTTGCATGATGGGGAAACAAAAGCATAGTGTCTAGTAAGCGGGTTTATTGATGGCTGCTCAAAAATAATAAAATTTAATATGATTCGCCTTTCAAAAAAAAAAAAAAAAAAAAGTCCGGAAAAAAAAAAAGTTATACATCTTGATCTGAGATAGCTGTATGATAATTACAGATAAATGCAGAATCACATTTTCCATTATGCAAACTGGCAAATACATCACCTTTTAAAAAGAAACATGATCAAAAAGAGCACTATAGTACAATAGTAGCAGTAGTAGAAGTAGTAGCATTACTTAAGGATTGTTTTGAACAAACCAGTAAATGGAGTTTGGATGTATGCAAATGATTTTAACAATAGCATCATGTTGGTCAGTAGTATGCTCCCCTCGGTTGCCATCCTCTTATCAGACTCTACAGCACCCCATGTAGGCTCTGGTTAGATTTGCATCTGCTCTAGGTATTTGTAGGTGGGGTTTTCATAGCCGTGGTTCTGCATCTTGTTCAGGTGTCGTTCCTCTGGTGTCAGCATGGGGTCAACCTGCAAGATAGAGAGATAGATAGACAGATGCACTTTTTAAAAAATAAGACCACTACAAAGGCCTACGTATGACAACTCTTCATGCTGTGGCATACATAAATGCTGCAGGGGGACAATAATCTAATTTGCATTTCCATATCCAGCTCTATTCATATACATCCTGATAATTTAATAGCTAGCTGATACTTGGAATAAGAAGAGCCACAGTTCATTAGAGAGCTCTGCTATGTGGTTATGCACCCTCCAAATAACAGGTGGCTTACCTCCACAATGCCATGACTGATTGTGCCATATTGCCTTTTCCTCAAAAGCACCAGGCTGGTCACAATCACAGTTGCTATGGCCACTGCGATCACCAGCAAGCCAATCAGTGCACTGCTACCGAAGCTGAAGTCTTCTCCCAGAGGGCGGTAGGACTCCTAACAGGGAGAATGAGTCAGGGAAAGACAGGGAGAGCAGTCAGGAGACAACAAATGCAAACACAGCAGACCACTGAAGCAATGAAAAGAAACAGCGAAGTTGTTTTTCTGCAATAATGAAGACACTGCATGTACGTACTAGCTACCTCATCCTACCTCGTTCTATTTAGCCATTCTGAACACAAGATTCCCCTGGACCTTTTTATGTTTAGGGTACAGAGGAATCTTGTAGTAGCTGCTACTTCTGTGATATGCATATAATGAGTGGAAACATGAATATGAACGTATCATTTGAAAGTAGATCTGCTATGCTGTGCAGTTTGCCTCCAAAGCTGCACAGATTCCCAAGGCACTACTGCCTTTGCTTACTCTCTGTCCCTTTAAAGAGAACTGTTGGCAGTGATCGTTTTTTGGGGAAGTTTTGTAGGTGGTTCACTGCTAAATCAATAAAATCAGATCAATTGCAACTGTGACATGAGGTGTAATTTGTTATCACGATCAATAGTCATAATGTAATTCATGTAAGAATTTCCCTTTAAAACCCGAGACAGTAAATTATTAACAAGAGTGAATTGAAATGAGATTTCAGCCATCCTTCAAAGTTGCTTTAAAATTAGAAAATAAATTAAGTGGAAAAGAGCCGACTCTTTAAGCTACGTTACGAAACCACAGAGACAAAATCAGTTTTTTTGTTCTTTGGGACACGATTGACTCGTGAATAGTGTGTGCACATGCATGCCAGGTATCTTTGTGGAGGATTGTGTAGTATCTTGGCTAGTTCGATATATGCACACAATCGCAGTCACCTCCGCTCATCTTCACAATCTAACCTGACACATATGACACAAACTAATCATATGTGGACAGCCACTGGGGTAAGGGGGGGGAGGGGATTTCACCGCTCGGTCTCACACATAAGCTGAGCACGCCCAGTTTGTGTGGATTCACATCCATCATATGAACTGAGATTTTCAATGTGTACATTCAAATACAGTCACATAACAAGCATGCACCCATGCAGAAATAACCAAAACAAGTTAGCCTCAACAAAATATGGTGATAAAAGTGAGGGGTTCAGGGGTCTGTTTCAGTGCAGTTGTTGTTTTTAAAAAAATTAATTCTGTTCTTTTTATTTACACAACCATCAGCTGCAGAACTGGTGTCTTTGCACACTCCCACACTCCCTCCTTCTTTCATCTTCTCCCACTACTGATAACTACAGTTCCCCAGAGAGCCCTTTGGAGGGTGCTGCTGTACTCACCAGCTCATCATCATGCATAACGCTGACTCTCTCTGCACTGTAAACCACTTCTTTAACATCCAGTGACTCATCAATCACCTGTCAACACAGACAGGGGAGCCCAGGTTACACTCACCACAATGTGTGTGTGAGATCGTGCATGTACGACA